AATTGTAAATACTAACTCATAAACCAATACATACATTGCTGACAAATAGAAGCCACGACAGAGAAGACAGCGTACTGTACAGAAGATGGTCGGTGTTCAAATAAAGCAGAGAGTAGCAGCAGTACAGCACATAATCCTAAGACTCCAATCACACTCCACCATGCTGTAGGGCTCAGGGGTCTAAGAAATTGGTTTTCGAACTTTCCAGGACCAATAGTGGGTATACGATAGTAGTATCTAGTTCTGTATGAAGAAAAAAAAAAAAGGATTTAGGTCAAAAATTATATCTTGTTACATCCTTATCCTTACTATAAATAATAAATAAATAATCTTTATTCATAAATGTAAATGGACACAGATACAAAAATATTCCCTGGATAAGAAAAATAGATCTCATATGGTTAGGTGCCTGTACTAGGATAATCCTGTGTCACAGGCGAGAGTAGATCTAACATAATTATAATTTTATTGCAATACATTCTTTTTTCTACAAACATAATACTTGACATAATTCTGACAAACTAAAATATGACTATTTAATAAACATACACACATACATAGCCTCACGCCTTATGCTCCCGGAAGAGATAGGCAGAGGTGAAACAGCTTAAGTGTAACATGACAATATAGTGTAGGTAGTTAGCTTAGGCATGCAATACTCTGATAATTAAAATTATGATTTATGTAAGACAGAAACATATTACTATAGTCTAAGAATTATTTGCATCGGTAGAGATATAAACTAGGTTAGAGTCCACAATCGTACACTTGCTGTTTTAGTACAAATTACAATAATGTGCTTAGACAGCAACTAGATGATGAGTACGTCAACCTGCATATATTGCGCAACTGTAATATATAAACGTTTTATAAGCGGTTTTACGTGTCTCCATAGTCTACCGAGTTTATGTACCTTTTTTCGGCCATAACTTTTGCAGGACATTCAGTAGCACCAGTCATGTGATTGTGGGGCTTCTTGAAGTGAATGCAAGTAGCACATTTCGGCTCATCTGACTTTTTTGGGCAATCTTTTATGGAATGATCCTGTTCGCCACAATGTCCGCAAGTAAGAGAGGTCTGCCGACATGATTTAGCAGCATGTCCGTACTGATGGCACTTGAAGCACCTGGTCACCAGAGTGAAGTCGCGAACAGGGCATGATGACCAATTTATAAAGACTCGGTCCTGGGATATTAGGACTTTTCGAATGACTGCAGTCACTTCGATCACATAATTGCAGGTCTCAGCATCTCTCCTCCCTGATTTATGGCTTAACCTTGTTGTCGTCAAGAAAGTGTCAAGACTGCAGTTTTCCAACTTGTCTGCCAGATTTTGGTGGTATAAGCATGTTAACATGTCGACGTCGGACATAGCCGATGGCACTCCTATGATGACGACCCTGGGCTTTCTTTTCTTCGGCTCATCGATAGTTAGGCCTGAACTTATAAGTTGCGCTGACTGTCTTAATTTTACTATATTGCCTTTTGACTCGGTACTGATAATGACGCCGCCGTTTTTAGTTTTGTGGAGGCCTCTAACTTGTAATTTCATTTCTTCAGGGCGGATAATTTTTTGGACCAGTATTTTCGTCTCATCACTCGTCTTAGTTTTGTCGTTGGGATAAATGACTACAGAACTTACTTTTAAGG